GGGGGGGCACCTGGGGCAACATCAGAGGCAACGGGGGCAACGTGGGGGGGCACCTGGGGCAGTGGTGAAGGGGGGGTATTGGGGGAACATGGGAATTCCCCAGGCCGGGTTCCCGTGGGGTTGGAGGGGAGGGTGAGGGTTTGTAGCCCACTGAGGTGGGTTTATTGCCCCGGGGGGGGTAAGCTGGAAGTTGTTGCCCCTCGAGGGGGGTCTTACCTCCCCCCCGACCCTGCTGACCCCCCCTGTGCCCCCAGCGGGGCTGGTCTGGGCCAAGGTGGGCCCGGTCGGGGCCGTCGTGGCCTTCGCCGTCGTCATCGCCCTCGTGTGTTACCTGAGCCAGAGCCGCCGCAAGTGAGCCCCGCCCCCCACGGGCCCCGCCCACCGGGGGCCACACCCACCTGGGGCCTCACCCATGGGGGGAGGGGACACGTCCATGGGGAGGAGGGACCCCCCCCCCCCTCCCCCATCCCCACCCACTGGGAGGCCACACCCCTGTAAGCCACGCCCCTTAAAACCCACGCTCCTTAAAAGCCACGCCCCCATGGGACACACCCCAAGTACCACACCCACCAGAGGCCACACCCCCGTGGGAGAGGCCACACCTTACCCAGGGACCACACCCCACAGGCCACACACCCTTGGAAGACACCACACCCATCCCCGATTTGCCACGCCCTGGGGGTTTTGGGGGGTGGGTGGGGCCGGGGTCAGAGGTCACGTGTGACGCGGTGCCCCCCCCCCCATCCCCCAGGAAGGCGTCGGGAGCCCCCGAGGTGACCCCGGTGGCCCCCCCGGGGCAGGGGGGGGACCCCGAGCGGCGCCCGCTGCAGGTGAGGGGGGAGGGGGACACTTGGGGGGCCCGGGGGGGCTTTGGGGGGGAAACGGGGGGGGGACACACGAGGGGGACATTGGGGTGTGGGGTGAACAGGGCTGGGGGGGCACGTGTGGGGGGGCTGAGAGACCCTGGGGGTCGCAGAGGGATGCTGGGGGTGGACCCGGGGGGGACACAGGGGGGACACAGGGGTGACACAGGGGGGACACAGGGGTGACTCTGCCCCCCCCGTCCCCCCCCGGTGCCCCCCCAGGCCCGGTGGCTCCGAGGGGCCGTGGGACGGTGGGCGCTGGGGGTTGGGGAGGGGCCGGGAGCACCCCCGGAACCGGCCCCGCCCCCCAAACCCACCCGGGGACCCCCGGAGGAGCCCCCGGAATACGCCGAGATCCGGGTCAAGTGACCCCGCCCTGGCCACGCCCACCCCGATGGACACACCCACCCTGATGGACACGCCCTCCTGCTCCTGGACATGCTCACCTTCTGCTGGACACGCCCACCTCCTGCTGGCCACGCCCACCGGGGCCCTGACACACCTGTTGTGACCTGGACACGCCCACCTTCTGCTGGCCACGCCCATCTCCTCCTGGACATGCCCACTTTCTGCTGGCCACGCCCCTCTCCTGACCACACCCACCCCTGTGGACACACCCACTGCCTCCTGGCCACGCCCACCACAGGGACCTGCCCAATGAGGGCCTGGCCCATCCCCATCTGGCCCCACCCCCAGGACACAGACACACCCCCAAGGCCCCGCCCCCTCCCGGGCAGGCCCCGCCCCTGTAGTTATTTATTGCCCCCCATTAACGGCCCTTAACGAGCCCCACCCCCATGACCTTTGACTCCAAGACCCCCCAAAAATAAACTGGATGGAACCAAAATTGCCTGCAGGGAGTTGGGGGGCTGGGGGTGGGGCCTCTAAAGGGGGAGGGGCATCAAAGGGGGGGACAGTTGGGGGTTTTGGGGGGCTCTAAACCCCCCCAGACCTCCAGGGTTGCTATAGGCAGTTCCCTGGGCTCTATAGGGGGTTCCCTGGGCTCTATAGGGGATCTCCTGGGCTCCATAGGGGTTTTCCCAGGCTCTTTAGGGGCTTTCCTGGGTTCCATGGGGCATTTCCAGGTCCTACAGTGGCTCTCCCAGGCCCTGTAGGGTCCCTTTGGGTTCTGTAGGGGCTTTGCTGCGACCTCCAGGCCCTTTCCCAGGGTCTGTAAGGGCACCTCGGGGCTCTCTAGGGTTTCTCCACCTCCTGCAGGGGCTTTCCCGGGATCCACAGAGGTTTTCCAGGGTTCTGTAGGATCTTTCTGGATTCTATAGGGGCTCCTCAGCTTCCTGCGGGGTTTTCCCAAGTTCCATGGGGCATTTCCCAGCACCTGCAGGGTCTTTTCCAGGGATTTATTTCCTGGTATTTCCCAGTTCCCAAGGGCAGTTTTCCTGGTTCCCTCCCGGTATTTCCCGGTATTTAATTCCCGGTATTTCCCGGTTTTAATTCCCGGTGTTTCCCGCTCCTCTCCGGGTATTTCCCGGCTCCCTCCCCCCTCCATCCCCTCCCCCACCTCACCAGACCCGGAAGCTCCGCCCCTCCCGCCCCTCCCCCCCGCCGTCCTCCCGCCCCTCCCCCTTCCGGCGGCCGCTGCCC